CTTTGTGAAGGCAAACAATTTCAGAAAAAAAAAATAAAAAGAACCAAGGCTAAAGATACTTCATGAGAAATAACACAGTGAAAACAAGGCTATATTCAGGAAGGGATAAAGACACAGCTTCCTGCAGTGACTGGCATGTCAGATGTAGGTGCTTCCCAAATATTTATAAGTTGCATACTGGCATTCTTATAAATGGATCCTCTGACATTCCAGGGAAGCATCTGGAAGGAAATTCTAAGCCTATTAAGCACAGATAGATAAGAGCCAACCCAACCCCTATTCCTGCTTGTTTTGGTGACCTAGATGTAGACACAAGCTTGGAAAGACAGTTGGAATTATTTTAGGAAGGGGGATATCAGATCTAGGACTCAACATGCCAGGTAGGAGGATTCAGCAAAGGAAACAGGGCTGCAGAAGAACACAAACATCTAAAAAAGAAATATGTAGAAAAAGTGGTGGAGATCTGATTCTTACAGACATTTTTTTTCTACAGCGCCTAGCTGAGGGTCCCCACATCTCCCATCATTGCCCCTACTACACATGGATACTGGAATTCCTATTCCTTTCACCCAGAAACAGCGTTAAGTAAGGTAACTGTTGGACACCTCATGACAAAAGCAGTGTCTGATTTTTTTGCATCTGCCACTCTTCCACAGCAGGACTGTGATGTTATGGGGCTCAGTTTTATTTTTAGGAATCTCACATGTTTGGAAAAGAACATGCCACTTGGGATATTCCATCAGTGGCGTTACCATCAAGAACACTGAGGAGGCCCAATATCGCCACGAGAAAATCAACCAAAAGTACGTTATGATGAAAAGACCACTTGAGCTAACATCTTTTTCAAGCATAGAAAAATATAGGATATCGGAGARCGAATAAAATATACAGTATTTTTTTGGGTGCAAAATGAGACTGATTCTTACGAAGTTGCTGTGAGGCATTTAGAGAAGAAAAACTCAGAGGAGTGGGCAATGCCCTCAAGCAGCCCCTCTGGGTGATCACGAAAGGACAAGGAGAGAGGGTCTCGCYGTGGTGGCTGCAGCCACAGCCCCAGCACCACCCTAGGAGATGCCCCCAACCCAGCTCCCTTCCCAGCTTGCCCGGAGCCACCTATCTTCATCCCACTGCCAGCTGCATCCAACTGGTTCCCCACGTGGATTAGAGCAGATAAAATCAGCCTTTCTTTGCAAGGCTCTCCCTAGCTCAGATATGCTCCATGAGTGGGAGCTGCAGGAGATCCCACCCTGGGCACTGACCCACCTTCTCCTTGGCACCTGCTGCCGCCACCCTTCCCTTCCCGATGGCGAAAGCAGTTTTGGTTTCCTTTTCAGAGAACGCCATTGCCTCTGCTCCCTCTTCCTTCCTGCAYGCAAGCAGGAGTCAATTCTGTGATTGGGTATTTGTCCAGAAGACACCAAAGAAAGATCTTGCTTAGGGGCCCTTTGGCAGGTGTCTTCAGCAGAGCCCTCTCTCTTTGGTCCCCTGCAACCACCACATTCCTGYCCATCTGCCCATGGAGGTCTGCTTGCGCTTTTTGCATGGATTAAGCAAAACATCCTTCTAATGGGCAACATAATAGAGAGGTGGCAAAGCCATCAGTGAAGATGCCACCTGCTCATCTTGTTTCGTGCTGAAAGCAACTTTCCTTCCTACCCTTCAGGCAAACAAGGTCTCTCAGGAGTCCAAACCCACCCCTAGTGCCACCTGTCCGCTTGTGGCTCTGCTGCAAGAGAAAACCCCACACCCCACAGAAATCAGTTTGGCTACTCACGGAGTTCCTCAACACCAGACCTTTCCATCACCATCTCCCTGGCCCGGAAGATGCCAGTCACATGTGTCTGAGTCAAAGGCCATTTAACTCTTTCTTATCAGGGTAGAAACGTCACACTTTTTCAGGATCAAATAAATAAATAAATAAATAAAACGAAGAAAACCTGTAACTCCATCAGATCCACACTTAACTTCTACATGTTGCTGATGTTGCTACCTGTTTGCCAGTTATTTCTCTTCTAAATTGATGATCTGGAGTGCTTTTGTTCACAGTTTCAGTACTTCAGGACACAGACAAGCACTCCAGAGTTAACAGGACGTTCAGCTGCAGAAGCTTCAGCAGATTTCTAATTAAAAAAGAAAAAAAAAAAAAAAAAAGAAAAAAAAAACCTGCACAAACAAGGACTTTTCCCTTTTATCAGTGGTTTCTGCTCTCAGTCCCTCTCCCACTAAAAAAATATTCTCAAATCCTTTACGACTGAAGCCCTACAGTTTAAAGGTCCACTGTCTCTTTATGGCAGTCAAAGTCTATGCCTTCCTTCCTTACCATCAGCAGTGGCACAAGCACCTGTGAGGTGAGCAAAGCTGGGAACCCGTACTTTCTGGGCACTGCGTTCTGTGTTTATTTTCCTTTTTTGTTGTTGTTTCAGAGCCAATTTTCAACTAGATGAGTACCACAGATCTGGTCCTCCCCACCCCAGTACAGTCACTAGCATTGGCACAGGGGAAAYAGCAGGAAGGCACGTGTAGAGGTGAAGGTAGGAATACTGTTTTGGCAGCATCACAAACTTGCACCTACCTAGAGGGACCCTGAAATAGAGTGGGCTCTTCAGGGTGCATTTCCACCTCCCTTTTGACTGACAAAGTCAAAACCAGCTACTCCTCAGCAGAGTCACAGATCTCCAGGCAAAGTTATGGCTCCATACACTTAGACTCCTGCCTGGGTTTTTAAAAATAATACTCAGGATTTCATTTCTGGAGACTGTGTGGWCTTTGCTCTGCATTCAGAAAACATTTTTATTTATTTAAAAACCTACTTTTCTTCCAAACCTCCTCTGCATGCATGCATCCATCTTCTCTGGTACATTCACATTCCTCCTCTTCAAATGAATACGAATCCTCTTTTCAGCAATCACTTGCCCCTCACTGTGAGCTCTTCCTTACCTTCCCTTGCGCCCCAGAGAAGGTTGGCATCACACTGTGAAGCCCCCTTTGGTGTCAACAGATCTGTCACGCACCGTGGGTGGTTTCCTTCTCACGACAGGATGAAGGAGGGAAGCCCATCTGTGTAAGTTTGTCCATCCACAGCACGTTTTCTCATACAGCAAGAGTCTCTCAGCCCCCATCCTGCCCATAAGTTGCACCAGCTTGCTTGCTGATGGGGCAGAAGCAACACTGCAAGGACTGAGACAGAGTAACAGCCCCAAAGCAGTCATTATTTGGCCTCTTCTCATCCTACCAAGCTGCACTCATCTCTAAATGCATTTCTTTCAGGCAGTTGCTACATTCTGAATCCTGCTGGGTGCCACAGTCAATGACAGAGAGGGACTGAAAGCTCTGAGGCAATCAGAAAGCCACCAAAACGGCTCCTCAGGCAAGGATGGGAATGTTAAGTGTAATATATACTAATGAAACACTTTCAGGGGAGCAGGAAGGAATATTCCCCCCTCCTCGCTATGTTTCTGGTTAAATAAAGAAAGCATATGGAAACTAAGCAAATTCTTAAATCAGAACAGAGCCATATATGATCCTAATCCTGTCTATTTATAGAGTCAACATTTTAAAACCACCTCTTCCCCCTCAGATATTTCCTTCTGCCCAGGGSGGGTTGTGGAGTCTCCTTCTCTGAAAGTCTTCAAAACCTGCCTGGATGCCGCCCTGTGCCACATGCTCTAGGTGTGCCTGTTTGAGCAGGAAGGTTGGACTAGATGATCTCTAGAGGTCCCTTCCAACCTTGAATATTCTGTGATTCCTCCTGCTTGCCGCTCAGCATGTATGTAGAATTTGGAGAAGCCTCAGGAGGCCTGCGGAACTCCCTCAGTTTCTGTTCGTAGACCTGACGGGCAGATTCAGGTTTGTTCTAAGAACAGGATAAAGATCTATGACAGCGGGCATATCTCAGGTAAACAGCACTCCCAAACCACTGCACTTTTCAAATTTARTGGTACTGATAGCAGAGGAAAGCAATTGACTATTGAGAACAGTGTGAGGTAGACATATTTGCTTTCTTCCTTCTCATACAAAAATACTGTATTTAGAAAAAAAAAAAGCACATTTACATGACTTTCACCTTTACTTCCCATTTACACTGAAAGCTCTCTGCTTACATGTGACCAGCAAGATTATATCACTAGTTCGTGCAAGAACCTCCTTCAGGTTCCAGCTGTAATTATCCATCTCCCTACAGAAAAAATGGGACATTACAACACAGAAAATATGACAGCTACAGAACTCATTGCAGACAGCTGCAATTCTGTTATCTTTAAGGGGAATGACTTTGAAGACAGCAGGACTTAGGAAAGCTGATAAGATCACAGAATCCCAGAATGGGTGAGGTTGGAATCGACCTCTGGACATCATTTAGTCCAATCCCCTGNAAAAAAAAAAAAAAAAAAAAAAAAAAAAAAAAAAAGGCAAAGAGGTTCCTGGGAATCAGCTGGAGAAGTGCCAGGTGCATGGCCATTTGAAAGAACCCACCACCAACTTCAGTCTTGGGTGGCCATGCTGCCAGCCATGCCTCACGAGGTGACATTTTCCCCTGGGTCACTCATTCAAGTGCTAGCTCTGCAGGCACTTCTTCCCTGGTCATATTATGGGCTTATGGGGGTCTCAGCTTCAGTAGCTAGAATATCCCAAGTTCTCTTGATCTAAACCTGAGGAAGTTTGCTGCAGGACAGAGAGTCACACAGTCACCACTGACAGGACAAGGACATTGAATACTTGGCTACAGTGTCACCAGCTGGATAGGCAGACTAAAATGTAGAAGAACAGGGTAAGCAGTACTGGCAGCAATGTCATCAAAAACAAATCAAACTTCACCCCTACTGTTAATTATAAAGCTTCCAGGATGTAGGAAATTAATGCCATTTACTGGAACAACAGGTTATTACTCTTTCCTTGTACATGTTGGTGTAGGCACTTTCAACTTTCATCCTTCTGCATTTCCCATCCAGTCTCCCTTCAGCACACCAGCCCCATTACAACCTACAGATAAAGTAAAAGCTAAAATGTAGCACTTCCAGTTAGCAGAATAGCCCCCACCAAACAAACTACATCCAAAAATCCTTCAGAGTATTGGTCTTGGCTCATTGCACTACAACAGTTCTATAGCATCTCAAAGAAACTTTTGATATACATAGCAAATACTAAAATTGTGCATACATTTAAAAATAGATTTATAAAATATCTCAAAGTCAGTTCAAGGAAAATTCTGCCATTCTTTATAGAATCACACAACTATAATCTTTTCTATACTCCAGAATGTAGGCAGGGTAAATCTGAAGCTTCTCAAAGATGACAAAGATGGAAGGATCCTCTGGGTCATCCACACAGCTGTCGTAGAGCCTGTTTGGATTCTCAGGTCTAGGYGGAGGGCGACGGTATTCCGAGTTTCCCCGAACAAAGTCTCCAACGAGAACATGAGCTACAAACATGCTCTGGTTACCAATGCTGGCTGGACAGAACTGATGAGAATAACTGGCATCTCTGGCAAAGTAGCTTCCTAGAGARGGGGAAAAAGGTTCAAATAAGAAAATCCATTAAGTGAAGAAGTGAATGGGTGCAACTGCTCCTTTGACAACCAACAACCCAGCAAGCTCCTTGTTCTTGTTCCTATGCCATGAAGCTCTAAACTCAGCTGATATGGGAACATCAAGGCTAAGGCATCAGCYGATGCTGGACACATTTCACCATACACCTGTAAGCCCTGTCTAACCAAAAGCTCTGCCTGGCAGCAGCTACCTTGGCCAAAGAGGAAAGTTTCCAGCCCATCCACAGTGGAACAGATAAAGGCAGATGGAGAGGAGTGTGGTGTCCGTGCCAGTCAGACCCCTCACAGTGACCCACAGCCCATGGGCAGCACACACTGCTGCAGCCCCCGTGCAGGCTCCTCACAGGCTGGCACAGGCTTTGGCGCTCACACCTTTTCCATGCATGGTYCCGTGAGCCCCGCAGACCCGCCAGTCGAAATTCTGCTCGCAGATGGCAGCCAGGTGGGCCTGGCTCGTGCCATGRAACAGGAGCCGCTCATCCACCCAACTTGATCTCTTGACCTTCTTCATCTGCTCCTTCTGCCTAAGGGCAAAAATTTTTCAAATAAGGATATTTTTCCAATCCCAAGTCCCCCCGCTTTTGAAACCCAGAGGAACAGTGGCACAAACCACTGTCGGTGGATTTACTGCATACTCTGCACTGTATTGTACCCTACTGCACAGCTGGCTCTTTCCAGAAAGATCTCAGCATCATTGCACACCACATAACCCACAACTTCTTATCATATTACGGAATAAAAAAGACCAACATCTTTCAACTGTGAACTGGTCAGTTCCCAGGTTAAGTAAATCCTCAATGCATGACCATAGTTTAGAAAACAAAGTTGTATGAGAACACAAAGTCATGAGGTCATTTAATACAAATGATTTTATAATCTCTATCCATACTTCTATCACAAATGTTCCCAACTTTTAAAATACCCMGTGTGGAAGAGACTAAGAAATAACAAGAAAAACGGCAAAAAAGCACAGCTTAGTCATGATGTCAAATAACAGGAAAACATGTTTCTCTCTGAGCAATGTTAGGAAGAATCACATATACAACCCATTAGCAATGTGATCAATGGMTCATCCCTGTGCACTAACAGGATCTTATCCTGATCAGCCAGAGAGAGCAACAGTATGAGCTCACTGATGCTGTTTGCATTTGCAAGGACTGTGTTTCCCATCTGGGCTAAACTGTGGGTCCAGCCATGAGTATATATGTATGTGTTTTGTATATATGCTTACTGGAAGTACATGCTCAGCCTCACTACTGTGCAGACCTGGGGACGTAAAGCTGAGATAGTCTCAGCTCTGTCAGGCCATCTGATTTGGTGATCTGTAATACAACCTGTGGAGGATAACATACCAGTTATCTAGAACTGGATAGCATACCAGAATCACCARTACCTTGCCCCCACCAGGGTCATGAAGTAAAAGAGATACACACCACTGAAAAACTTGCCAAAGTGTTGGGTTCTGGATCCTCTGCAGTCTACGAATGCTGTAATCTTTCATTGTCTTCCCAAATAGTCCCTCAATTTTTTTGTATTCACTGGAAGTGTAACTGACCTCCAACAACTGAAATTTTTAAAAATACAAAAAATAGTGTCAAAGGTTTTCCAGTACAAACTCACACCAGTCCTTCTGGTTCATCAGGGTCATCCCATTAGAGGAAAAGCCCTGCCGTGACATTCRCAAGTTCTTCCTGCCTTCACCAGTTAACCATCATCCTCCCTCCTTAACTCCCACTTCTCATGTTTTAAATACAGGTACTGAGGAGCTGGGGGCACCAGGAAATGAATGCTTCTCCAAACTAGTTTCCTTCAGTGGACAAACTTCTTCACTTCTACTTCACAGTAACCTAGATCAGAATTGCACAACAGTGTTTTGGGTGGAGAACAGCAACTATCCACTTCGCTTTAATTTGACATCCGAGCTCCTAATGTGTTAGCTTCCCTAAGGAAATCTAGTTTTACTACAGCAAATAATATTTTGCCTCAAATACACTGAGAAAATACTTTCAGCCTCCTTTTATATGCAATTCATGCAGTCTATCACAGATACTTGGGGAGAACACAAAGGAAAGGTTAGAGCAGCAAGGGCCAAAAGCTATCCTTATCCCCGTGTGGTATATGTGAGGGGGTCTCAGAAAGTTCCCCAGGAGACACAGCCCTATTCTGAACATGAAACTGGTCAGTCTTATGTAGAGCTCCTCAGAGCTCTACATTTTACAAATATGCAAGTTAAAAGCTGAGCATTGTCTCAAGAGCCTTGGCCCTTGGAGTTACACATCATGTTTTATACAGTTTACGTCTCAGAATTGGTACCAGATGCAGTTCACCTTACATATTGGAGAGGTCAAAAGATGTACCTTGTATCCTATATCAGGCAGTGCAGACAGGTCCCATTCTGGAGGATAGAGAGAATACGTCAAAGTTGAGTGTAGCTTGCTACAAAGAAAGAAAAGGGACCAGATCAGTTGATGATTTCTACTATTGATCTACTAGCCGACCAGTGGCTTGAACCCTAGAAAACTGGGAAATGAGGCTTCTCTTTCCATCTCCCTCATCTTTAAATAGCTGGTCAGATCTGTGGCCCACTTCTACCAGCCTCCCAGACCAGTCAGTCAGAAGGACATGCAGGAAGCCTTGCATGGACAAGTGTCCCTCCATGTGCTGCTCCACCAGTCACCATGTGCTTAACCATCTCCAGCACAAGTTCTTAATAGCCCTCATGGTATGAATGTTTTGCCCCAAATTATTACAGTGTTAGCATCCATACAGAAGGTTGGGGTTTTTTTTTTTTTTTTTTTTTTTTTTTTTTTTTTCCCCTCTTGAATCCGCCAGTTGTGTGTTCTTGTGAGTTTCTGAAGCCCGGGAAGGGTCTTTAAAAAAACAAAACAGTAGCACAACTAGCTGCTACAGCAGGTACACTCAATTCTGTCAAGCTGAACTTCCTTTAAAAAGAATTATTAAAGAAGAGTACCCAAAATAAATGCATCCAGCTCACTYTATTTAAGGAAATTTCCTTTTAAGTTTTATTCTCTCCTTTTTGAGAGGTCATCTCCTATTTGCTCCACAGTTCTTGGGATAGGCAGTCCCTTGCTTCTACTCCTTGTGCTGTTTAATATTGCTAGGGCATAAATTAAGGACTAGAATTTCTCCTAGGGTCAGCAATATGTGACCTTGCTCTTCTAGAGGAAACAAATCTCTCATGGCTGCCAAACACACCCCAAACACATTTCACAGAGCTGTCGTAACAGACAAATTTTAGCAAAACTTGACATAAAACCAGTCAGCAAAAGGTGTCTAAAAAAGAATTTAAGAAATCTGAAAAAGAATTCAAGAGATAGAAATACTTCTCAGAAGAAAGATACTGTCATCTAGAGACATTATTAAATAATTACAGACATTATTAAATAATAACATACAGTACCTTTTCTGTTGTCCACTTTCGGAAGACTTCAGAAATTTTGGCAATCGGACAACTCTTCTTCGAGTTTCATAGATCAAATTTCTTTGGACCATGTCTTGAAAATAAACCATGATGACTCAATAATTAGGCAATTTCTTGTTATGAGAGCCACATTTCTACATGTTTAAAAAAAAAAATAAAAAAAAGGAAGAAAGAAAGAGGAGGATGGCCCTGAATACTGAAAGGCAATTATCTTTCTACCACTTCCACGCCATCCCATGCTTCATAGTTTGAAGTAGCTTCCACTTCTGCTATGTGTGCTTGGTGACCAGCAAGGTCCAACTGAAAACTCACAGTATGATTCCTTATGTCCTTCTGCCTTTACCTTGGAGAAGAAGAGAATGGCTGCCAGTACAGCTTGTGAAGGCAACACCCCAACTACACGGCCCAGAACTTTCCTCCAGGAGTTGCTATTCACATCCAGACTGTTGGCCAGACAAAACTATATCTGATATCTGACCTACAGGGCAGAAGTGGTTTTAATGTGACAGAAGTCATAAATCTACCTTTCCTGACAGTACAGGATGAACATTTTGGTGCAAAAAGGCAGTCCTCTCTTTCTGGTCCTGTAATAACATCACAGAGCACAAACTATGTTGCATAGCTAGCTATGCACTGTTGCCTGTCACTCTTTATTATTCTCACATATACCACTCTTTACTCCTACCAGAGAACARAGCTAAACTTCATAAAATGAAAGTTAATTTTAGGGGCATTAAATAAACTCGGAATAAGTAAGAAATACATAAGCATTTTTCTATTTCCCTTTCCTTCTGTGTGGAAACAACCCTTATTTTTTTCYTTTGCAGTGCTATGTGTTTTCTTTCCCCATAGCTAGCCTGAAAGAACGTCTACCAGGCTCACTTCTTCACCATTTGACAGTTCAGTTCTTTTTCCCTTTCTTATTTCCCTTTTTTGCTTGTATAAGATTGATGGATAGGCCAGATGCCATGACGAGTTTACACTCTGTTCTTTTTCTGAATATACAACACTGTCAAAGATGCTTTTTTGATTATAGATAGACAAGCCTAGAAACTTCAGCATTGTACACTGGAACTGCAGAAAAATGCATGTAATTTTCATGTTCTGCTCAGACAACACTTAGAGAAGGAAAAAGACACGCAGACATGCATGAAGTGCAGACATGGGGTGACAGCTGTGTGCATGAAAGATGCCACCTTGCAGTCAGCTACATTGTATAATGAGTTTTATATTAAGAGATACGTCACCTTCAAAGTTTATCTCATATTGCTGGGAACCAGCCCTGAACAACAGCGTGCCTTTCTGATTAGCTAAAAATGCCTTCTCCAGATCTGCAGATGTGACCGTGGCAGGGCAATGAATTGGATGCTACAAAAAAAGAACAAAGAAATTATAGCTGTTAGACACTGGTCTTCAATTGAGGTGACACTGCAGGCACACATCAGTGTTTCACCCTTAATCTATTCCTATTTCATTAGATGAGGTTAAACGAAGGTTCTGCAGGAAGTGCAACTATTCAATATAATGCCCAAAGTACTAAAGATACCAAACTATGTCTATTAAAACTTTATCCCCCATCCATCTCCGGACCTGCAGTTTATCCACCTTTGGCTCCCTGTTCCCTGGGGATGTAGTAATTCCTGTAGGGCACCACTTCACCCTCCTGAGTGGGAGGAGCGCACACAACACATGAGCCTCCATGGGAAATGTAATARCGCCAGGGAACTACCGTATCAACAGGATAGAACAGGGGTTTGAAGGCCCTAGATCAATCAAAGACTGCCATTTTGAACTAATCTCTGAGATTTCTATCATTTTGCTCTCTTTGGTCATAGGGGTACCCACCACAGAAAACAGCTGCTGACAGTAAAAGCAAGAAATGCTCAGTCCATGCAGTCAGCTTAGCTAAAAGTTTGAGTCACCTCTGGAAAATACACTGTTCTCAAAGGCAGTTTTCTGAAAGTTTCCACAGAGGATCACCCCTGCTTTGAGGGACTGTTAATAAGACAATTCCACCAAGGCATCAGAACAACATTGCAAGGATCCTTGTGATTTATGGAAAAGATACCAACTGTAGAACAGCTCTCCAAAGATGGCTAAACGAGAACTTTTGGTATCAGCACAACGGTTCTCACCTGTTTGCCATACTCAACCCACTGYCCAGCATTATCAAGCCAATACCAGGTGCATGCCATTCTGCAAGGGGACAGGTGAGTCCAAGGATATTGCTGGGACRCACGAGCTGATCAGCTTCTGGGTGCTTCAAGCCTAATATTGAGAGAGAAATCCAGACTCAGTACTGGTCCTTTCCAAAGTTGTAAGGCTGTTTGCTATCCATGATGAGGTCAGAACTCAAAACATTTCCCAGAAAAGGAATCCCTTATGGCTCGTGATTAGAGTTCAACTGTGACCAGTCCTGTAGTTTGGACCCTGGCCACCGTTTTTCTCTAAAATACATTTTTCGAAGGACACAATGAACTCAGCTTGTTATACAAGTGCCAAAGGCACCGTCCACCTAACAGCAGTAAGACTTGGCTTTTTCCACCTAACAGCAGTGAGACTTGGCTTTTGCACGATGCAGGCTCAGCCACAGAAGTCAGGGTACTTTCAGCAGGCACTGAGAGCAGGGAGAGCAAAGCAGCTGCTCACAGTTACTCAGCAAGCCTTGGGCAGAGTGGGGCACAAGTTCACCATCTCCATCCCTGAGACATTTCCAAAGAAGCAGAAACAAGCACCAACGGCTCATGCTCAGAGACTTTTGCTTTGCCTGTAGTTGTGCTTCTCCTTCCTTCAATTGTCCCAGTTTCGGACCCCAAACCAGCCAACACTCTTCTCTGCATCCCTTCATGTTGCTCCTCCTGCAATTTCACCTTACTGGAGGGGGCACGTACAACCAAGACCTGCCCTCCTGCCTGTAGCGCACATTTGCAAGGATCTATCACTAAGCTATTCAGAGCTGCCAGAAGTAAACCTGAATGCACTAATTCAAATGGGAACTGGAAGTGATCATTCAATTCACCCCGTATTGCCASTCTATGGTGCTTGGGTATGTCTCATGCATATTCAGTAGGCTAATCACGGCTTGGAGGCGGGCATAAAAGGAGGTGTTCCTGGTCAGAGGCTGTTAYGGTACAAAGGTTGACACACACAAAGGCCTGGCAGTCGCAGGGTTTCAGTAATTAGTAACAAAGGAGCTGGTTTCCCTCACAGCTCTTTAGCTGGCTCCTTCTTTCACTTCCAGGCTGCCCTTGCTCTTTGTACGGAGTAACATCGGTCAGGCCCATTCCTGGAAAATGCTCCCAATTCACTCCCTTTCAGTGAAGGAAATTCACTCCTTTCTGCTGCAGAAGTTTCATGAGGTCTCAGATTCTCAGAAGCTATTTGCTTTTCAGTTCTGCCACCCTTTCCCTTTCCATCCCCATACACAGCCTGCTGCTATGACAGGAGAATCAGGAGCTTTGGGATACTGGGTGCAGGTTTGGGGAGTTGGGGATGGACGTTAAAGAAAGCAGAGGCAGGCTGGGGAAAGTCACATGAAGTCTGCAGGCAGCTTTTCTCCCTGCTTCTCCTCCATCCCTGATCCCCTTCTCCCTTCTCCACATATCCATGCTAAATCCCCGCAGAGACCCACTGCTCCTCATGTGCCCTAACGCCATTTGCTTTCCAAAACCACAGAGGAACAGCTGCTTTCGCTTTCACTTGCTAACTTTTCACTTCTCTCAGTTCTTTTTTTCATTCACCAGCTACCCCCAACTAAAAGCAAACAGAGGCGAAGCACTTAATAAAGCAGCAAAAATATTTCACTGGTGGGACGTGGGGTGTGGATCTTTTACTGAAGAATCGCTGCCTGCTCCTGTGCAACTGAAAGCTCTCCTGTAAATTTGCCTGTCGTTTCTCAGCAATTATATACATAACAAAAAGAGCCACACTTCCCCTTTTACGCAGCTTACGGCACGCTAAAAGCAGATGTCCTTCCAGCAGACCTTAAAGCAAAGTCCACAAACCACAACCCCTCACTTCCTTTTCCCCTCGCGCTTCCCTCTGTCCCTCCCATCTTCACCTTGGCAAGGGAAGAAGGTGTCAGCGTGCGGCACCCGCCACCTCCCCGAGCCTCTCTACTCACGGAGCCCTGGCGCGGGGCTGCCTGGCCACCAACCATCCCTGGGAGCTGGGGAAGGAGGTCACATGTCCGTGAGTCACAGGAGCCCTCTTAACCCTTGCTCCACGTGGATGACATCCCGGGTGCAGTCCTAGCTGCACGCCTATACGGTGAGCTCTGCTGCAAATACCTCTCCGTGGGACATCCAGGGTGTCTCTTCCCGCCAGCCGCTGCCGCTTGGGAGATGAAGCTGGGCAGCATTTCCTTCCGTCGTTGTCACAGCCCCAAAGTTGTCACCAGATGTGAGCAGAAGAGGCAAGCAGGATGACGATTTAGGCAGAGGAGGCAGTAAAATCTGGCATTCCTCTGAACCAAGACAGTTTATCACCATCATTTTTTTCCTGCCTTTGAGCACCAACAGTTATGTCACTCCAATTCCTCCCATCTTTCAACTGGGCAAGAAAATCCCAGGCCTCTTCCTTTGGAGATTCCTGCCAGGAGCATTTTCTACTGAACTGTGTTCCTTTGAAGCAATATTTCCTACTCAACTGTGCTTCTTTGAAGTCCTAATCTGCCATTTCCTAACAAAGTGAACCTTTACAGAAAGTGAACACATACCTCACATGTGTTCTTTATGTTGCTTATTGCACTTTTGAGGGRGCTTTGCAGTCTGCAGCACAGAATGACTCAAAGCAGCTGAAAGCCACCTGACTGCAGAGCTCTACAGGGCAGGGAAAGTTAGCCCAGACAAAGCTCTACGCTATCAACAGTATTTTTCTTCCTTTAACTTGAAATCTGAGCCTCCTCTCCATTATTTTTTTTTTCAAAAGCAAAGAGAGGTGAGGAGCTTTCCCAGTCTGATCTCTAGCCTTTGAGTTTAAGCAGATGGCAGGCTCCTGGTAGAGCTCTGCAGCATACCCTTAGTGATATGTCAAGCAGAATTAACCGCATAAACCTGTTCAGATGCACAAACCTGTTCAGATTTATTTTTCCTTCATATTATGTGCAGTTGAATTGTCCAAAGCAGCTTGATTTCCTGATGATCTGGTCAGACCAGCTCAGCAGTGCTCTGATGTCTAGAAGAGCTGCCATTCTGAGCACATTTTATAGACATAGCATTAAAAAAAAAAATACTATTGTGATTATGAAGTTCAGCTTTTTATTTCTTCCCCATCTGGCCTCTTTTGACTGGATTTTGACCTCCCGTGTGGTAGCTGTCTCATCTCCACAGCTGCCACACAATTTCTATGCTTCTCTTTTGACAGGTGAGATTTATAGAATCAGACCCTGTGGGTTTATATTTGTGCATGTGAACTCTCTAGTTTAAAAAAAAAAAAAAAAAAAAAAAAAAAATCCTGATCTAAAGCCAAGAGCACCAGGAGATGCGAGATAGCAGTTCTAGGAAAAGGGGCTCCAGCTTGGAGGAAAATGTTTGCATAGCTTTGCTGAGAGCAACACACCATCCTCCCTGCAAGCAAACAAGTGGTCACCAACTGCTGGCTGYGTTGCCTGTAAGTGGATACTCACCGTCTGACCGTAGCTTTTATTTTTATCACTTTTAACTGCATCGAGAAGGGTGGTGGCAGCTTCTGCTGAACCTCTGATCTCTACTGTCAACATAGCCGAGGTGCTATCAGCGTCTGCATTTCCAGCCTCTGAAAAGCCTTTGAACAGATATCCTGTATCCTGCAGGATCGTGTTACTGCACAGTCAGCAGAGGCACTGGACTGTGGTTTCCCTGCATTTATCAGATGATTTATCAGGTATAAACAAACCGTGATCCAGGAAGCAAGACTGCTTGGTTTTCCTCACAAATCTCAACCCCCTTTCCTTGTTCTCCAAAGAGGAATCAAGCAAAAGGGGAAAAAAAAAAAAAAAAAAAAAAAAAAAAGAAGCCGTTTTACCTTCTCCGTGTTGGTTTCTGTTGGCATCCACGGCTTGAGGTGCAAGTACTGGGGCGAAAGGTGCTCCCATAGTGTGGGACCAACCTTAGACCATCACATGCCTCCACTTTGGCATGTGTAAAAGGCCTCAAGCTCAGTATCAAATGGGACACTCTCAGTTGCAATGTAGACTCTGGGGCTCTCTTGATGGGCAYCATTTTCTGCACTTTGGCACTTTTTCTGCAGGGGAGAAGTGGAGATTTGTGTCTCCCCCCTGCTGCATGGCTGACCTGTACGTGCAAGTCTGGAAAGTTCCCAGTCTATCAGCTTGGTCTCACGTCAGACCACGCTGTCTTTTGTGTAAGCCTCTGTAAACAGTGATGGTTTTCCTGTTGGACACCATCCAGCAGCTTGCATGTACAATAATCTGCAGGGAAAGGACAAAACCAAAAAACAAGCCCTGCCACCCAAGTCCTCCTCTCCTAGCTCAATTTAGCACAAGAATGGGAAGAAGACGTAACAAGAATAAATAATTCTCAATTGCTTTGGAAACCCCTTATTTATTTCTAAATCTTGATAGAGCAGTTCACGGGTTTGGATGGATTACATGGATTTTTATAAACGCTACTTTGGTGTTACTCCAAGTACATAGATGGTTGATACAAACTACTTAAAATGCTTCACATTCTGCTCTTCCTCTCTCCCAAGAGAAATTTATTAGACAAATTTCAGTGTACTACTTCTGGCAATTGTGGGAGAAGATTAACATGTAACTGTTTAACACATAGCTAATTACTGCTTCATCTTGACATAAGTTTGCAGCGTTAATAATGAAACTTGAAATAATTTAATAATGGAAACCTTTCTTTAGTCGATAGTTCAAGTGATCATCTATACACTCAGGAGACCATTTGCCAACAGATTTAAAATAAAGCTCATGCTTGAAGTTTTGCATGCCTTCTTACTGCACCAAAAAATGAACTTAGTAAAGAATCTGTCAAAATTTCGTTGAAGATTCTGACGAATTTAAGGAAAGCTGCAGCTGGACCAAAATCTGAGACTTCAGTTTCACGGGTTGTATTCAGGTTTTGGGGAGGGGAAGGAAAGAAAGGGAGAATACATTTTGCCACAGTCTTGTGGGTGTTTAGCTAATTTTTTTTTAAGTGTTTGTAGATTTTGAAGTGTTATTTTTTAAAAGTAATATTCAAAATGAAAGTTTTTTAAAATGTAAATAAACCTACTCTACTCACATACTGCTCAAAGTAAAACATTCTGACTTACATTATTAATGATTAGAATTTCAAACGATTTCCAAATATCTTTTCATTAATCTGAATCTGCATTTTCTGCTAAATGAAATTTCATTCTCCTCACACTTTTCTAATTAATTTATCTTATTTCTAATTTTGTTTCTCCATGCTGACTTGCCTTTATAATGCTTGTGCACAGCACCAGTTCAAATGACTACTACAACGTTTCTTCTTGAAGGCTGTATTTGGCTTTCATGTGTTTCACCTCCTTAAATTCTGGAATAGGCTTCCCCTATTTGCCAGGTTAGGAAATTTAAAAATAATAGCCCAGTCCTCAGTAAATGATGTAAGCTGCAAAGTTAGGATCTTGGTTTTAAATACTCTCTTGAGGTAAAGAAAGCTTATTTCAACGCACTAGATTGATCTGCTAAAAATATATATGTGTATAAAAGCAGATGCAGCACACTCCTCCAGATCCCAAAAGGCAAGCTTGGGAACACTTCCAGCAAAGTTTTGGCTGAGGCTCTTCTTTATTTGCAGTGATTAAAAGACTGAGAGCATGACCTGCTTTTGGTAGGATCAAAGGTATCAGAATTGGAATAAGTAGATTTTATCTTCTTTAAGCTGTGATGGTTTCTTCAATAAGTCTTGATTTCTTGCTGGACTACTTCCAGTAATAACTGCAGTTTGTGCGTGAGATAATCTGCAGGGGAAAAAGGAAGAAAGTTTAGTTTGGAGGATAACTTGAGCTATGACTGCAAATCAGAGCATCAGCTCTGATGGATGGAGCTTTCTATGTGAGCAGATCCCGTGATCTGTTTCTTTTCTCACTTCTTCTATTCTCCCATTATTGACAGGTCTCAGGCCCACATCAGACTGAAAGAAGTCAATGTTTGTAATTGAAATCATAAATAAAGATTAGACTTTTATTTGAGGGTAAATAATTGTACCTATATCACTGAGGACACATCTAAAACAAATCTATGCTGGGTATTGCATGGGTAGGACATATACCYTGTTTACACACCTGCCTCTGTGCCCAGATTCGTGCTGCTAGCCAAGAACAAARAAGGAAAATATCAGCATGTTGCATCAGTGGATAGATCTTTTCCTAGTAGTGCTTTCGCTGACTTTTCAGCATACTTGTTTGTGCATGGGATTGTTGCCTCTGCCTATCAGTCTCTCCATAGCAAACTTTGATCTTGCTGCTCAACCTCAACTAAATTTGACAGAGACATCGTAACCCTGAGCAAGCCTCTCCATTCCCCCCACTTGGTAGATCTCAGCCCTACCTTTTCTGAGGCAAAACAGCAGAGTGGCCGATCCATATATCCACAACCAGGCTGTACCCATGTTGGTACCCATTGGACCTCCAGCCACCCACCACACTACCCACCACCACACTCTCTTCAGCCACAGAGGTTSTATCATGGGAATAGCATTGCAGGGGTGGTAGGATTCATAATTTGGTTTTCACTAGGTCTTTTGCTCAGGGAACAGTTTGTATCAGTGATGGACCCTGGAAACACATCCTTGAGTGTGTTTAGGCCCAGAATACGTCAAGGCAAATGCATACTCACAAAAGAGGCTTCGGCAGCGATCCGACATTTGCCTGCGGACTACGAGGTAGTAGACTGGAAAACCACTTAGAACCATGGTGCATCCAATGCTAATGTTTACAGGGTCTGAGTAGAAAGACATTCCCACTGTGAAGAGGCAGATGATGGTAAAGGAGACAGGAATGAACAGGGGAACCTGGAGAAAAGAGCACAGATGACTTAGGTAAGACTAACCAGCCTCACAAATTGGCATTCATATGTACCAGCATACGCTATTCACTGGTCTGTCTTAATGCCCCTTTCACACATCCTTTAATCCCAGGAAGGGCAGCCCRATGTGGCATCTCCTCTTGGTGAGGTCTGCATCCCTCTCCATTTCCTCGGGGTATCAACTTTTCCTCGCTCGCAGCGAGCCATGAACAGGAGGAGGAAGCCAACCATACCCCGCTGCTCTCTGAACGTACTGCACCAGCATGCCCATGCATGTACCAAAGCTTGCCATTTGTGGCAGTTGCTAGTGGAAAAGCTGACAATTAGAACAGCACAGCAAGTCATTTGAAATCAACTGTTATTTAGTCGTAATGTTAAAGATTCTTTTTGACCAGCCTCCATCTTTCCTGGGATTTATAGTGGCTAAATCAGGATGAACCAGACTCTCTACCTCTATAGCACTAGGAGCAAGAATAGGATTTTCACTAACAATCTGATGAAAGACTGAAGTAACTCTCAGCACCTCAGCACTACCAGATGATCCAGCTCATCTGGTGTATTTGAAGAACAAATTGGAAGACCGCAATAAAATAATAAAACTGTGAAATATTTCCTTAGGCTGGGGATTCAGCCTCRGACAAGTTCTCTTCAACCATAACTGATACAAGGACATCCTGATTTCACCCCAGAGGACAACCTCATTTGAAGGTTGAAAAATAGGATTTGAAAAAATCCTGTTTTGGATGCTGACTGTGCGGAGCTGCTCAAGCCCGGACTGCTTTCCAGCTCTCAGGCTCTCGCTGCTCTGTCTTTCCAGCAGAGCAGCTCAGTGGGAGCGGAGCTCCCTCCCTTCCTTCCAGSATCCCCAACACAAACATGTTCATACAGCACAGCTGCTTGAGAGCTGTGTGAGGACAGTGCTTCTCTCTTATCTGTTTTTAATTACTATTTTAAGTATAATGTTTTTAAGTTTAAAAGGAAAAAAAAAGTACTGGCAGAATGACTTATATTTGCTTTACAATTTATTCTATATAAATAGGACGTAAAAAGAAAAAAAAAAATGGTTTTGACCACTAGAGAGCAGCACATGTACACCTCACATTCATGCAGTTCTTTTTTGCAGCTAACTGTTCAAGTCAAGAAGTGACAATAAAAACTGGGGAGAAGGAGGGGGAAAAAAAACAATGCTACTSACCAAATGTCAGAGTTTTCCTCACTCTTTCAATCTACTTTTGGAAACTGTTAAAACCCTAAATCTCGGTCCAAAACAAAATGAGGCAAAATGACAAAAACTGAAAGCATCATCAGTGCTGCTCGCKAATACATTAATATAGGCTCTGAGCAGCCTGTTATGAAAGGAAAAAAAGAAAACTTATGTAAAATCTATACAGGAGAGACCTTGACCTTTSCCGGTCTCTGCCAAAAACTGTCTTCAGCAAAGACGAGGAAGAAAAAATACCAGAGATTAAACATCAGGTCTGTCCCTTCGTGGGGAGTAGTCCTGGAAGGCATGAAAAGCATTCGGTTTTCCCAAGTTTCTCCACAGTTGGTTGTCCAGAGGATTCCTCTGCAGGAACCAGCCAGAAGCCCTGCATGGGCACACTGTGAAAAAGGCACAAATCCTGCATGACCCGAGCAGAGGCCCAGCCAGATACCTTCTGCAGATCATCTGGCAGTGGAAAAGGTGCCCAGAGTGCAGCAGGGGCTGGGAAAGGTGCTCCAGCACCTGCTCCTGCCAACATGAGGGGACCATCTGTGAGAGGATCACTTACATGCAGGAAGGCTGTGCCTGCACAGTAAATCCTGCACTCAAAGCTATTATAGGAAACACAGCTGCCGTCTTATAACTATGGTTGTTAATGCACCATGTAGAACTGGTTTTACATACCTAGGCAGTTGTCTAGCTGGCCAAGCCCAAGAGCTTCCCAGTTCAGCTTACTGTGCAATAGGGATAGAGACCCCTCAGTGTCTAAATGCAATCATGGCCATGTATTACTCCAATGCTCAATAAGCAAGAGAAAGCAAGACAGAGGAAGCAAAACATGATGACTTACATACTCGTGGCCTGTACAAAGTGCCCAGCGTTACCTTGAATGGGCTCTGCAGCTCTGGGTGGCGGCAGCGATGGACAATGAGCCCAAGGGTGGCTAATCCTATGAAGAGCCATCGGGAAAAGCTGAAGAAGTTCAATAGATGGTAGATATCTCCGATACACACCATGGCAGTAACCAAAGGGAACTGAGCATTGTGAAGATGAAATACAGTCATTAAAGCCTTGCCACAGACCTCAGAATGTGAAGTGTAATATGAATCATCTCTTCGAGTCCCCTTGCAATCACAGGCAACTACTTCACAGCCCCAGTAGCTCAGATATAAGCTTTACAAAACAGACCATAGGCTTATGGTAAAAGGCCTAAGCACACAATCACCACGTGCTACAGAAAGCAGCCATGGAGATCAACAGCATCTTCGGGGACATGCATCCTTGGCAATTAAAGCAGCAGACAATCAGCAGTAATCAAGGAGCACTGGGGCTTTGGGATAGAGAAATGCCACATGAGGTACAATGTAATCTCTCTTCCACAAGTTGTGGTTGTAAACAAAGGGAAAGTGTGTTTCCACCACACCCTGGAATTTCAGTTTCACAAATACCCAAAGGCTGGAAGAGGCGTTTTCGTAAGATAGCAGTTTCAAGCAGTAACTGTGACAGATGATAGGAACAACACATTTAAAGAATGTGTTCAAGACCGTGAACGAGGAGCCAATGAAGCAGTGGGTACAGAGACCAGCAGTGGGTACAGAGACCAGCAGTGGGTACAGAGACCAGCAGTGGGTACAGAGACCAGCAGTGGGTACAGGTGCTTTTTCCTAATTTGTAGCCCGGGCCAGTATTCCAACTTTGTTATTTTTCAGTGGCTGAGAGAGTGTCTCAGCTGCCTTTAAAAGTCATTAGTTTTTCCAGACTTTGCAGATTGCCAGAAAAAAAAAAAAAATGCTGCAAAGCCAACACTGCTAGAACAGAGCAAGTCAAACATTCAGACCTTCTTACCATTAGCATGACAGCAGGAAGAGGTGTATGCCTTCGAATATGGATCATAGAGAAGAGAGGAGGCCACTGTCCTTCTCTTGAGGCCACAAAAAGGGTCCTAGGGGGAAAAAGGAGCCCTGCATTCCAGCATCCCACATCCACGCTATAAAACGAAAAGATCAGTTGCTGGACTGATCCAAGACCACTATACCCCACCAGCACCAGCAATGGACTGCTTTCTAAGGTCACAATTCTGTCCTTAGTTTCACCTTTGAGGGAGATTTGGGAAAAAAATAAGAAAAACAAGATTGAATTCTCATAGTTCTCCCAGTACCAGTTAGTTCTGTGCAGTGTAGCACCCACCAGTGGCGTCACTAGCAGCATCCCCTTGCGTGGACCACTAGCAGAGACCAAATTGACCACGAACGACTTCTGCCTAGAAACAGAAGCAGGAAAGTGTCTCGCCAGCAGAGAAAGAATTAGCCTTTCTGTAGGAAGTAAAGGGCTCACAAAGCTCAAGYTATTATAAGGGAGACTGCTGAATTTATGAAGGAGTTGTCACCTTTGATGCCCACAACAACAGGGCACTGGGCTCAAGACACAGGAGGCCCAGGTAGCGGCTGCGGACTAGGAATAAAATATATATTTATTTTTAAAATAAATAATTTTTCTCAAGTGATGAGATTTTCACGTCTCTGGACATCATCTGGAAAAGAGGGCTTAGTGTGCTGCACAGAAGCCAGCAACACACAGGCTGGCTACAAAGTGGCAGCAGAGAGCTCCTGCCTCCATCCCTCCCTTGAATCCCRAAAAAGGGCAATTGGGGGGAAGCACTGCCTCCGATTTCATGGATTTAATCTCCACAAATGTACCATGTCAGAGCATCAGCTGGACTGGAGCAGAGCCCAAAGCAGCTGGGACATGGACATAAAACTGTTTTTACTGCAGCCTCTGTGGTTTTGCAGAGGTGTGCCTGGCTGGTAGCCAGGGAGGCCCCATCACCTTTTATTTGGCCTTTTYGCAGTGACTGTGTTAATGACACCAGGAGAGAAGGATGATAGGGATCCCTCTGTGCTGTTCAGAGACTCACTACCCACAGGAGCTGAAGGAAAGGATTCTCCATGCTGCATTTAGTACTGGGCTTGAAGGGAGTGGATCAAATAAATCGTTAGTGCTTGCATTAGGGAAAAAAAAAAAAAAAAAAAAGATCCTATTCATATCAACTGATAGTCCTTTTGCAATCAAAACTGTGAAAAAGAAATGGCTCAAGAGAGTTTGCTCAGCTTCTCAGGACGGGACAGATGCAACCTTCTGTGTGGATTCTGTCCCTCTCCAATTTCAAGACTCCCATTAGAATATGCAGCTTAGAAGCCAGTAATGCCAGCAAGATACTGTTCCRTGCAACAAAGGTGTTATTACCCATATACCATGATTTGTTGTGCCTGGACTATTGTTTCAGGAATGGCTTGGTCCTGGTAGCATTTCACTGAACTCAAAGCAAAGGTCATGCAGGAGAGTTTGCCTTTGGCCAGAGATCCTCAGAACAGAAGGATCCTCTGCCCTGGAGCAGAGCAGCTGAGTCGAGCTAACAGAAAACGGCTCCACTTTACTGAGCAACTGCCAAGGTCAACAAAGTTTCTAGTCTAGCAGGAACACTGACATTTCACTTGGATTTAAACTGAAGGGGGTATGAGGGAGATAAAAAAACCTTATTTAAAAAAAGCAGTTTGTAACCAGCCCGAGATACTGATGTCTAGACCTGTCCAGAAGGGGAAAGAAGAGCCAACAGTGGTTGTCCTGTAGCTGACCTCTTGGAAGTCAAAGRCCCTATTTTTCTCCAAGAAGTGCTAAAATGCCATTGAGAGAATAGCCAGTTGCACAGGTTACAGCTGTAACTTTCCCCCGGCATATGAAAATGCTTTCTCCTCTGATTCAGTAAGCAAAAAGCGTCATAAATTCTTAGAAATCTGACCTTGAAAATGTAAAGATTCCTCCATTCATCGTTCCAAAGCAGGACAGCGCAACAAGGACGGGGAGCACCGAGATAAGACTTTTGAAGGCTCGCTGCACAAAACTCTGCAGGAAGAACAAACTTACTTCARAAATGTGTGATAACCTCTTCTAACACCAGATTGAAGAGAAATAACTGAAAAAAAAAACCACCACTGAAGGATCAGAATATTAATCGTGCCTTTTCTACTGTCATCCCCAGGTTCCTTTTCATTATCTTCTAGGCAAGATTAAAAGAAGTTACAGTTGTCCAATAACCCAGAGAGCTGACAATGCAGMAGGTCATTCCTTTAGGAAAACCGTCTCCTAAACACCTGCTGCACGCACCCTTTCAGTACAAGTTGGTCCCGCTGAAGAAAGATTACAGTTGGGGCAACAACTCACCACAGCAACAGCTGGAGAAGCCAAAACATCCTGTGCCCCTAGGACTGTGTAATAGGAAACATTGGTGAGCATATATCCCACAATTACAGTGATCACAGACACAATCACAGCCAGTGGGATGTTTCTACAAAAGAGGAGAGAGATACAAGAAAAGCTGTTATCCCTCTGTTGTTCATCATATCACTATGGAATGCTACTGGTTGTGGTTTTGCAAACTTAGGGACATTTTTCCTCCCCTACTATTTTCTAATATTTGGCAAGGGTAAGGTACATCAGAGGCAGCATAAGACCCATGTGCTTCTCCTGGCCTTACCTTTCAGGTCTGATCAATTCTTCACGCACAAAGCTAGTCTGAAACCTGCACAGTAGAGGAAGATAGGAAGAGAGTTTGAATCTTGTCTCAAACACCAATCTGCTGCCCCTGAAGTGCCCTCTGATCTCACCTACCAGCCTGAATATGCAAACATCCCTGCGTAAAAAGCCAAGGGCAGCTTATCCAAAACCAGCGACTGTCTGTCAAAAGCATCCTGGAAGTTTTCGGTGTGGCCTATGCGAGAGAGACAAGGGATAGAGCACAGGGAAACATGAGAAAGGGTTAACATCCCTTGTACCTCTTCTCCAGCCCTGGGAAAAACATTTGTGACTTCTTTGAAGTTAGATATTTGGATTAATTTCATTGCTTTAAATTGCAGTGCTGTGTTGATGTGTTTTCTTCATAAACAGTGTGGGAATGAATACATCTCCCACCCAGCCATGGGAGAAATTTTAGAAAAGGAGCTGGTGGTGGACAGTTCTTTTTAAGACAGGGTCTACTGTGGAAACAGGAGATCATGGAGACAAGTGGACCTAAGTTGTCCTTTCCTTTGTTTGGGCCCAAAACTAATTCCCTGGGTTCACACACACACGCAAGCAGCTGGGTGCATGCTCTTTTTTGATGTTGTGCAGCCAACGAGGCAGATAATTCGACTCTTGCTGTGCAACCTCCTGATTCTTCTGCAAGAGCACTGACCCCGGCCTCACACTAGGAACAGAGCATGGGAATCGAGCGCTGGAGGAGGGAGCACAGGGAGCGGGAAGAGCCACCCTGGTCCTCCACACTCCAGGAAAACTCACTTCCTCACCACCTCTTCCCACCATCTCTGCACTGCCTGGCAGGAGGAGAAACTGAAGAGATGGAGGGGAAAGATGGGGAATCAGATAAAGTCCTCATTTTACCAAATCCCCCAATCTTCGGGGAAGTGTTCTGTTTGAAATAAATGTGGGCCAGCACTGAAAAGTAGAAAGATAATGGTCTGTTTTACAAACCATGTTTGTACAATAAAAATCAAAGTCAAGATTTTGGATATAAGCCACATTTTATCAAACTCAAAAAAAAAAGAAATTTGGAAAGTGAGAGAGAAAGGGCTAATGGATTCTCATTCAGTGTTTCTTTAGAAGTAAGAGGTGTGGAGTTCACGTAGCTGGGCCTCAGCAGGAAATGGACAAAATGGCATGGAGCACATGGAGAAAATCAGGCACTTCTACTGAGGTGCCTCTGTAAGGAGCTCTTAGATAAGACTTAGGTGCCCAGGTCTGAAGACGGAGAAAATGTAATAGCAGAGGAAAAAGCATGAACATAACTGGTGAAAGGCAGAGGAGGAAAGAGGAAAAAAGCAAAGTTTGATTTAAAAACAAAGAAGCAGAAGTCAGACGGAAGAAGGATTTGAAGAAAACTAAACCAAAAAAGATGGCAGTGAGCCTACTGGGCTTTTTATATTCTGAAATGACTGCTGATAAGTGATGGTACATAAAAAGGATTTATTTGTCCACAGTGTATTAATGAGTGATTTACAATCCCCCCAGAGTAAGATGAAATACAGCCTGTCATATTGGGGCCTCGCAGTGAATTCCCTCTCCAGATGTCACCACCACTTATCCTCCTCATCAGAGGAGCGTGCCAGGGCTCCAGATTGCCATTCGAAGGCATTCCTAACAATAACGGCACAAGATTTCTAGCTGCAGGGCTGTCCGTCAGTTCAGATGTGCTGCCAGCCTGAGGGGATTTTTGCATGTTCAAAGACGCCAGGCTCAGACATCAGAAAGAAACACGAGTGTTCAGCCTAGTGCCTTTGTTGTGTCCTCTGCAGAGGAAGGTAAAAGCATCAAGACGGAACGGGCTTCATCCCATGAGTGTGAATGCCATGGGCTTTTATATGAAATAAGGCTTGGATCAAAGCCAATGCTCTGGGTATCACTCCCAGAAGATACCACTGACAGGCTGTTTGTTTCCTCTGAATGCAAGCACAGAGCTGACACAGGTCAGCTAYGAGTTTACTATGTTACTGTCCACGAGAGGTTCAACCAAGTACCCTCCCTGCTTCAGCCACACAGAGAACACCTACCTTGGGCCAGAAGTGTCATCCCCGGCACGATGATGAGCCCAAGGGCCATGAGTTTGACGATGGAGAGAGCTGTCTGCACCCGGGCGCTCCAGGTGACGCTCCAGGAGTTCAGGGTGAGAACCATGTCTGGAGAGGAGACCACATTGGTACAACCCTCGCCTCCTTCCTTACCACTCGAATGCTGGTCACAGGGGTGGATGTCTGCAGGCCCATTTTCCCTTCCTCACAAATAGAGGGGCCTTACACAAGTGCCCTGGATTGGGAAGTTTTGGGTGACGGGGGGAGGTAACGTGGGGTCCCAATCCTGCAGGGCTCCCACATGGTAACACCCGACCAACACCTCGGGCCCATGGCAGAGAGGTTCCTAGAAGGGCCACCAGATCCGAGGTTTGTACTCACAGTATCCTAGGAGAGACACAAGCTTCACAGCAGGCAGAGGAGCCACGCAGGGGGCAAAAAAGGGCTCCAGCAAGTAACGCCCAAACGCCAAGGACACCACAGCACTGTTGGCAGGCCTGGCAAGGGAATCCAAATAAACACCACACAATGGTCACAAGATCAAAAAATACAGCATGAGGAAAAACTGCCCCAAAACTCAGGAAACATGGAGAAAAGATTCCCCACCCAACTGAATCCTGCTCTCCCGCACAGATGATGCTTTATGGTACAGGGCCCTTCACAGCTTTTTTTCAGAAAATGGCTTAGAATCACACACCGTAAAAAGCTTAATTATTTGCTCAATGAAGAGCAGAAGTTGAGATTAGTCACACYGAGCAATACAGCGTGGTTCACATGTCCTGCTTCGTCTCAGCTTACACAGAGGAGGCAGGTTATTGTGAGCGGAGAGTTTTCTTCTTCTTCTTTTAGGTAAATAATTTAAGAAATAAATACATACATAAATAAAAGTTACTTACAGTTTTCTAAACTCTTATTTAACTCAAGGCTAAGCCAGAAAGTTTTCTTCACAGGAGAATTTGAGGAAGTTTAGAAATAAAAACAGAAGTTTAGAAATAAAACTGTCATCTATTTTCAGTCACTGAAAAGTATCACAGCCCTTGGAGGATATCAGTTGCCAGGGCAGAAAAGGAAGATTTTTCAAGTACAGATTAYATTGACCACTGATTGTCAGACTGATTTTGTCTTGTTCCTTTCATCACTGAAAACATTTACAAGTAATTAATATTGTTTCTACCTTTTCCTCTGRAAAAAAACCTCTAGATTGCTAACTGACACCATAAGTCTTCACAGCAGCTAGCAAAAGGCAAACAAACTAACAAAATGTCTTACCTGATAGCAAAAAACTCTGCCCACAAAAATAAGAAACTTGGCAGAGGCCCTAGAGTCTCCAGTATATAAATATAATGTCCTCCAGACTTGGTGATTCTCGTTCCAAGCTCTGCATAACTCAAGGCACCTGGAAAAGTTCAGGTAGAAACGAATCAAATAAATCACCCAGTGCATCTCTGTGCAACTATTCAAGATTTGACATTTTAAATTTTAAATTGTTTAAAATAAGTAGTAAAGTAAACAGAGAAAAAAAGTGGAGTTTTAGATTTGGAGTTTGAAAAGTACAGCCATTTTTCTTTCCTGTTTTTATATTACAGTGTTTTAAAGTAAGTTCATTTTTCTATCAAAATAAATTCTATGTTTTCTGAATAATGATATAACTTTTCCACAGAAGTTTATCTGAAAAGAAATGTGTGAAAGAAAAATTTACATTGAACTACAAAAGTCTTCCTTAAAAAAGCTCTGGGAGGTTCAGGTTCTTTCACCTGTCCTCATAATGAGGTTACGATAACAGTGGTTACCAAGTTGTGCTTAGAATGTGGTTTATAGCAGCTCAGCTGACAGGCAGTGATTTAACTGATCATTTAAATTACATTTTTGACCATGAACCTGTTCCTGTGTCCTTATCCTTAGGATAAATTTCTTTCTTCACTCAAAGATACCTGGACAAAAGACCTAGAAAGACCTCTTAGAAGAAAGAATTACCACAAAAGACAAAACAAAACACCATGCAGCATAGGAAACTTCTAAGAAAGAAGTTCAGTGTTTCTCCTCCCATGTGCTCACCTCCTCACACAAAAGTGTGACAACAGATTTGAGAGCCTCCCACTCCTGTCTTTGCAACAAATCTTCACCACCTCCCTGCCTCTACATCTAGGCAGAACAAAATGTGGCCCTACAAGTGGCATGTTTGAGAAGGCAGCTTAAAATTTTCAAGCAAATTGATAGAAACCATTATACTGCTTTCTACTAGAGCCAAAAAATAAAGTCCCATCTGTTTTTCTGTGCATAGGAATTCATTATGCCATCTGAACACATCTAAGTCTCAAACCTTGCCTACACGGGATCCCACTGCTGTCTTAAACATCCTTTGTTCCCCGAAAGGAATGAGAAAACACGTCACTGCACGCCGCGTGCTCCACTTGCTTGCACCCTGCAGGTCGCTCGCACTGGGTGCCATCCCAAGGGGTCTGCATGGGGGTCCTGCCTCCCCTGGGTCACCCACGGCCTCTCCTCCTTGTCCTTTGGCACAAAAAGGAAAAGCAGAAAGCGAGGAGGGCTGGAGCCACAGCCAGGGCCCGAGGAGACAGCAGAGAAGCCTGTCAGCAATGAGGCCATTCTCCCAGGTCCTGCAGAGCTCCTGCCATGTCCGGGTAATGTTAATGGTGAGGACTCCCATTTTTCCAGCCTCTCTCTCGGAAAATTTATGCTGAACTCCCATGCGAGGCCTTGTGCAGAGGCAGACACCTCCTCCCATTTATTCCAGTGGGTGTATTTACAGGCTTCATGCATGCATTTAAGTGCTTTGCTCAACTGAGGCTGTGGGACTTGTATAAATGCCATGCTCAAAGGAAAAAAAAAAATATATATATATATATAAAAGAAAGCAGGTCCTTGTTAAAACACTAAGAAAAGTACCAGAAAAAAAAATGATCAAGGAAGGTCGTCAAGCTGATTAAAGTGATGAACAAACCAATAATTCAGTTACAAAATGCAGTAACTTGACAAAGAAACTCCCAAAGCCCCACCAGGAGATACTGTCAAAGGATGTAATGGAGAGAGAAACCTTTCCAAGCACAGAGGCTTGGCTCCGTGACCAGCACATGCCTCATAATTTATTGCTCTGCTCAGCTAAAAGAAACACGGCGCTCACGTTATGTTTTAAGATTTTCCTTAAGTAAAATATACCGTACTCCAAAGAATCGCACATAGGCTGCATCCCACATGTACAGTAAATGAGGCCTACATGGAACAGCATGTGCGAAGACATGAAATGCTGGGACACATATGCTAAGAGGAAGAACTACAATTGTTGCCAGGTTAACAATTGAGCGTCCCAATTGCTGCTTTCTAAAGTGCTCCCATGTGTACATAACTAGAATAGAGTGTTTTTTCATAGACTGTATCTTTTTTCCTTTTTTTTTTTTTAAGTTATGAAAGAAGAACAAGTTTAAGGTCATGCACAGAAATAAATATCAGATATCTCCCCAAAGTTCTAAGAAATCCAGTAGTCCTGCAAGATGTGCAGGRTGAGTATTCAACAGCACCTATACAGCATTTCTGAGAAGGTGCTTTTAAACAATTAAGGAAAGACAGAAACTAAAAGCCACATATTTTAGCAACGGCAATTTTAAGAGTCATGTTATTTCAGAACTYGAATGCTAAGCTGTAATCAAAAAATCCATCCTTCATAATAAAAAGGAAAAAGACTGATGATGTTTGCCACAAAATTAAGAAAAGTGTAAYGCAAAGAAAGCAGAGCTGAGCAGAGCTGTCAAGAATCATCTACTCTGTCTGCTTGCTCCAAGACAGATCAGATTTAGCCAAAGCATTTCTGGCAGATACCCATTTACCCATTATTGCCACAGGTTCTGCAGCTCCTACAGAAATCTTGTGCTCTTGTGCTTCCCTGACCTTATCAGCTGAGAAGGCTTCCCTCACTGCAACTTCTTGTCCTTTTCACAGCGTAAATGAAAAGCTCTGCAGAGCCTTCATTCTAGCAGGTGCCTTTTATTTCATGCAATCTCATTTCCACATGATCAAGAGTCAACTCCCATACTTTTTCCCAGACTCTCCCAGCAGATCCCACTATCTAGGTCTGTAGTCACTTCAGCCTACTTGCCCCAGAYTTGCATATAATTTCAAATTCACAAATCACAGTGTGCTGGGGTTCTCAGAAACTAGAAGAGAATCGTTTTTTGCAGAAGACTCTTAGATCGAGGTCTAGCCCCAAGGTTTGTTGGATCTTTGTTTCTGCTGAGTTAGAAGGAGGGAATTTTTGCTCCTATTCTGCTCCTAACTTTTAAATGAAAAAAAAAAACCCCAGTCTCCCCTCCTCTCCCAGAAGCTTAAGCAAAAGCTGACAAAAATTCACCACTCACCGAACATGGAGAGAAGCCCACAGGCAAACCAAACAACCAAGGAGAAGCCCACATTGCCAGAATTTTTCAGTACGCCTTTGGGGGAGATAAAGATGCCACTGCCAACCATGCTGCCAATAAGAAGTGAGAAAGCCCTCAGCAAGGTAATCTTTTTCCTCAGAAATACAGGCTCCTCTTCTTTCTTGTCTTTCCCCATGGCTCTTCTGATCTTAGGAGAAGCTCACACATTCAGAAGTTAGGGTCTCCAAAGGCATCCACAATGCTGACCTGTAACAGAAGGGAAGAGTTAGGGATTTGGGTGTCTTTATTTTTCATTTTTTTTTCTGGATAAGATTTTTCTCAGCAACCTGTTGAGATCTGTTGAATCTATTCTCCTCAGCTATTGGATGCACAGTACAAACAAAATACAGTTGCATTTACACACACTCGGCATGATCTCCTACATTGGCACTGTTCCTCAGAGGGACTGCTACCTGGTTCTGGCAAGGAACACAGAACACTACAGGTTGGGTGCCAAACTYTGGGAAACAATTCCCAAATGTAGCTTTGATGCCCAAAGATACGTTTGCAGCCCAGACTAAAACTGATCTGGTTAGGGTTAATTTAGGCCGTTCAAACTTGGGTGAACATTGATATCAGCAGGGAACATCCTCTAAGAGTTCAATCTGCAAACTAAAGAATCAAGACCTTGGAGGTCTCTGAATTGAATGTGATTATTTTTTTCTCTAAAGTGACTTTTTTCTTTCTTTCTTTTTTTTTTTTTTT